AAAAAAAAAAAAAAAAAACTTTTACTTTTCAGCTATGAAAAAGGATCCTACTTTAACATCTATAATAACATCTATTTGCTTTTTCACTATGTTGTTAAATATCGAAGACATCCCAAACAGTACATCATTTTTTAAGCTATGCACTAGAACAGTGGTTCTCATCCAGGGGGCAATTTGGCAACGCCTGAGAATGGAAGGAGTGCATTACTGGCATCTACTTGGTAAAAACACAGATGCTGCTAAACATGCTACAAGGACAAGCACCCCCAACTCAGCAGAATTATCAGGTCTAAAATGTCAGCAATGCAGATTTGAGAAACCCTGCTTTTCTGTACTGATAGCTCGTAGACCTAAAAGTTTTACTCTTGGCCAAATTTCCTCTGGCCTTAAATAATAGCCTTATTTACTTTTGGGATTTCCTAAATAAAAATTATCTACAATATTGTGGAGTTTATATAAGAATGGAAAATATTGTATGATCAAGTTTAACTAGGATCTTGCTTCTGCACCAGCAGTCCCATTTCAGCAATGTCTTTTGGCTACATTAATAATATAACACAGAAAAGGAACTAATGTTTACTGAGCACTTATGAATGCCTGACACTGTACTGGATACTTTGCATTCAACCTTTAAAAATCATTTGAGGAGTAGCTATTATCCTTATTTTTCAAATGAGGAATTCAAGAGTCAGACAAATTAAAAGAGCTGCCAAGATTACACAGCTAGGAACTGGGATTACCAGAGCTCAAACACTGATTTGTCTTATTTTAGTATTTCTCCCTTGGGAAAGTAGAATATGGTTATTAACAAACAAAGGAAAAGAAAGCAGCAGAAAACTTATCACAACTACCACCAAACTAGCTCTTTCCTGTTGTTGGTGTTGTTTGCCACTAAGTCAGACCCAATTCATAGCAACCCCTCCTTGGGTTCCCAAGCCAGTATCACTACAGAAGTAGATTGCCCGAATAAGTTATTCAATTGTCAGGCTTTGACACTTTTAAATGAGCTTCTATAACTAAAATCTTTTATCCAGAAAAATAAAATTATGTTCAATTATGATTTATGTTCACACACTGCTTTATATTTATGGCTTCATGATAATTATATTTTCCAGTCACTAGCATGTGCTTGGTTTTAACAGAAGTCACTAAGTGGTGGTTGTCTTTGTGGAGGGAAAACAGTAGACTGAGGGACAGGAGTGTCTAGGGTATGAAGAAACTTACTTTTTGCTGTACATTCACCTTTTAACTATTTCATACTATTTTTTTTTCCACATGAAGCATTATTTTAAAAAAAATTAATATATGAGTCTTAAAAAAAAAAAAACTCACTGCTGTTGAGTCGGATTGGACTCACAGTGACCCCTCCTTGGGTTTCCAAGGAGGTATCACTATGGAAGTAGACTGCCCAATCTTCCTTCCAATGAGTGGCTGGTGGGTTTGAACCGCCAGCCTTCTGGTTAGCAGTCAAGTACCTTAGGCACTATGCTACCAGAGCTCCTGTATTATTACGTAAACGAACCCTTATCACAAGCTTACATTGAAACTCTAGAAAACACTGTTT